GCAGTATTTTTGTTTAAAATTGTTTCTGATATTTGACTCTTGTGTTTCTCTCAGAAAAAGAAAAAGGCCCAATCTCCATCAGAAAAAGAGGCTAGTAAGAGCAGTAGGCCTCTCAGGTTCTGGAGAGTAAGTGCACGTCTCATAATAGAACTGAATCATATGATAATAGGACTTTATTTATTTGCTGTTTTTAAAATATTTATTTAATTAACAGAAGAGGAACAAGGTTTGCCCTTTTCCAATCGAAGAACCAGACCCAACACCAAAGGCCAGGACGCCAGTACAGGCCCGGTAGGCACTCATTTTACACATTTAGAAGTTTTTAAGTAATACAAATTAAAATGTATTTATTAAATCTGAATGTAAAATAACATGTGTTTGTTTCAGGGTTGCAGAGTCCACAAAGCCCAGCTGTGTACAGGTAAGTTTCAGTTACATGTATTACAGTATATACTAGTACAGCTCTGGCTTCAGTGTGTAATGTTTCTGTTTCTTTAACAGACTGGAGGAAAGGTTTCCCCTGATGAAGTGACCAAGGAACAGAACTGTCCTCCATCAGTATTCAAGTGTCTGGTGTTTTAACCAACAGAAATGGTACATCAGAATTTACTTACTTTTTTTTATTTATTTATTTTTTTAATCAGAGGATTGTAGATATTTATGTTAAAACAAAGTAGTTTTAAGAATTAAGAATACTTTTGTAATCTCTGGTTTGTCTTTCTTTAGCCCCAATCCTCCTAAGCCTGTTCCTTGCCAAACAGTGACGGTCAACCTGGCGCGCTTTGGGTACGTTTTTTAGTTATGATTGATGCAGTTTATTGACAATAACTGAACAGAGATTAGATGATGTTGTTTTCATTTGCAGACTTCCCAACATTGGAAATACGTGCTACATCAACGCCAGTGTTCAGAGCATCATGACCCTGGAGCTGTTCATGGTGAGCGTGAGCTCTCAGAAGAGAGTTTGGGTGAAGAGCAGAGACGCAGGCCTGTTGAGGTACGCGACAGCTACGCACCCTTTACTAAATACATATTTACCATTTTCTAACTGTGTAAAAGCAACCAGCAGAGGTCACTGTATAAGGAAACTGTTTTATCTTTTTTATCCTTTCTTTTCTCTCTCAGACACTAAAGTTTACAGTTACAATCTTTTTTAAATAATGATCGATAATTACTACAAAAAAGTAATGTAAACCGTACAGAGTGAAATGCCTTATTTGATGAGCTCATGTCTCTTCCACAGACACCTTTACTCCATCCAAAAGTGGAGATACTCCACTCAGGAAGATAAGAGGAACACACTGATGCGCTCTTTCAAGGCCCTTGTAGCTTCCAAGGCTCCAGAGTTTACAGGGTCCCAACAGCAAGTGAGTAACTTTAGCCATGATTGAGGGATGCTCCATTCTGGCAAAAACAGGATATAACTGAAATAATAATTATTTAGAACAATTACATTTATCAGAAGTAGCAGTGAATTTTGTATCTAACATAATGCATTAGTAGTATATTTAAATTAGTTTTCAAACTCTATAGAGATTACAAAAGTGACTTTTCTTTAGGTTTAGGTTTTTTAGTTTTTACGCAGTGAAAAAGGCTGTTCAGTTAATTAAATTAAAAAGTCATAACATTTTCATAAAGATTCCATAAAGACAAACCGGTACACTAATTTGATATTTCTTTGAGGATTAATGAAACATTCTGGTTCTGATAAACTAAAGTTACTGTGTGTGTGTTTCAGGACCCCCATGCGTTCCTCACTGCGTTGTTTAGTCAAATTCAAAGTTTGGCACCAACACTGCAGAGAATTGCTTTGAGCCTGGGCACTACCTACAGGTGCCCAGTGCAGGAGCTCATCTTTAACATGGATCAGACCAGGACCTGCCAGAGGTACGGGCTCACAGCAAACACAGTACTCTTCAGTATCATTTACTTCATACATACTTGATGTACTTCATATACTCCATGTACCGTATTAATGTTTGTGCAGGTGTGGAATGGGCTCACGTCACACAGAGATTTTTAACTCTGTTTCTCTGAACCTGCGTAAAGATGCTACGGCTCAGGACCTCCTGGACGACTATTTGAAAGTAAGATTTTCAAACTGTTTCCTTTGGTATAATCCAAGTATTTATCTGGCCGAGTAACTTTATTTGTGAATTTGAAATACTCAATACAGTACTGTATTTTTATTTAATTTTCACATTATGTTTGATTTTGACAGGCCACAGACCTGGAGTACATGTGCGGCTGTGGTGAGCAAATGTCCTCCGTACAAAACAGCTTTTCGACACTGCCCGAGTAAGTGGAACAAACGTTCATTTGAATGAAACAACTGCCTTCTCCTTACTAACTATTGTTTACATTTTGTCCTTACGCAGAGTTCTGATGCTCCACCTGAAAAGGGTCAGGTTCACACCCAGTTACCAGCTGGAGAAGTTCAATGATGCCGTCTACTTAAACAGAGACCTTGTGGTGTCGTCAGACAATGTAAAGTCAATTTTCCACAGTTGTAGTGAAGGAACTTTTGAACTTTCTTAGTAACGTGCCATTTGTGCTTTCTACAGGATTCTGGCTGTTTCAGTCTGGTGGGTGTCATTTCCCACCTTGGAAACTCGGCCGACTGTGGTGAGAAAAATATTTATTACTCAACACTAGGAAAATGTCTTAAAGAAACTTGAACTCTCATCTTTACTGTGTGTGTGCTTCTATAGGACACTACGTGTTTGATGGGCAAGACCTGGCCGACAGTCCCCTTGAGCCAACCGATGGGTGGCTGTGCTATAATGACCTCCACGTACAGAAGGCCACTGGGTGGGACGTGTGCAGGAGCAAAGAGAATAGTGCTTATATCCTTTTTTACCAAAGGGTGCACTTTGACTAGAGCCTGGCGCTGTAGAGGTCTGTTGTTCTAAATACGCCAATTTCACAACTTACCATTTAACTTCTATTACTTCCAAGTATACTGCTACTACACTACTTTTTAAATATTTATTTTGGATATTGGGCTATTAAATAGGATCCCCAAACAACCATGAAGTGTGTGCGCGCGGGGACCCAGCTCTGAGTGCACAGTGATAGACGCCCGAGCAGAAGAGAGGTGCTCCTAAAGACGCCCGAGCAGAAGAGAGGTGCTGCTAAAGACGCCCGAGCAGAAGAGAGGTACTGCTAAAGAGGAGAACTCGAGCTGCATTTGGTCATTTTATCTGAATAAAGCCGAGGGAGGGATAACAAATACAGTAGTACTGGAGTATTTCCTGTAAAAGTATTGTGTGGAACTGGAGCTGCATCCATACAACTTTAAATTTGTTCAAACAACACGATCATTTTAGGAATAAAACTAAGAATGGACAAACAGACAAATGAAAGTACGCACGCACAGATCTGAATATGTGTTGCATTGTTAATGTAACAAATAAGTATTACATATTTTTCTATTTGTATGTTTATAGTATATATACTGTAACGGTTGTGTTTTAGTTTTTCCTCCAGTGGTGCAGAAAAGAGGAAGCCACAGTGTGTGCGTCGGCCATGTAACTTCCAGTAACTGTAGCGCTAAATGATCTTGTTTGCCACTTCATGGCCCCATACAGGACAAAGGACAAAGGTATGTATATTTGAATTATGATCCATTACCATCATTGAAATTTGATTCATATTTTATATTCCAGACAGCAGCATGGGAAGTGACAGGATGCACCGAGGTAACAATGCCACCCCGCATCTTTCAAAATAATACATGAAAATGAATAAATAAACAATTTTCAAATAATAAGCTGTCTGTCTAGTCATATTTTAAGAGTAAAAATATATATATGTGACAATGACCATTTAGCAGTGTTCTGTCTCCAAAATGATTGGTTTAGATTTAAGGCCTATTCGCACGGGATTAGTTTTATCTAAAGATGTCTGAGAGAAAAACTGTGAACATTTGCACGAGACACATCAGTAAACTATCTCTTGTTATGGACTTTATTCCAGAAATGGCGGACTGATAAACACCGCAACAAGACAAGAACCTTTTAATCCATCATGTTGCCAACAGTGATTTTAATTTGAGTTTGTTTTTAGCAGAATGCACCTGAACTGTAGCATCAAAACACCGTGTTTCTTACCAAACTCACACAAACCACAGTCACCATCAGATTTCAGCCATAGTCTTTCTCTGTTGATCTGTTCACAAACACTGGTGTATGGACCAACACACACCAAACTGATCTACTGCCGGCAAAATAAATAAAAGATATGTTTAATGTAATTGGTGTGGAACATTCCATGCAAAGCAATCACATCTCCACGGAGACAAGGAGACTGAGATAGTGGACTAATAATAGAAATAAACCAATATACATCAGGACATTATTTGCACTTTTTTGTTTATCAGCTATTGGCCTTAAATCTCCATTGGTCGATATTTTGTTTTGACCAACCAGCTACCTAATAATATGCAACCCTAACCTTAAGAATGCAAAATTAAAACACTTCAGTGCAAAGAGATAAAAGCACAAAATGTGTCTACACTGTTCTTGTATACGTTTGTAGTAAAAAGAGCTGTGTAGTAAATTGAAAGTACAGTACCATAACGTCCGAATCCGGATCGAGTCCGCAGTCACGTGATTGGCGCCGATTTCTGATCACGTGATCAGATCGGGACAACCCTATTTATTATAATTAATTGGATTGTTTGTATCGTTGTCTGTTTTTGTATGCTTTCTGTGTGCTATTTCCATGCTTTCTGTAATGTTCATTGCTGCTTGTACAGCAATCTGTAAACCTTGTTTTTAAAAAATGCTTTCTTTATTTATCAACCCCTAATTTACATATCTCCATGACAACCTTTGATATTTAGTTTCAGAATTCTATCCTGACCTTTGTAAGCTGTGGAAGAGTGTTCCACTAAGTTCATTTCTAGAGAACAGTCGACCGAAGCAGACGCATTTGTTGAGCTCTCTACGCAGTTTCTCTACATAAACAGAAAGATGTTCAGACGCCTCACATCAAAAATGAGCGTTAAACACAGGAGGAGGATCATCACTGAGGATCCAGACTGGTCCCTGGAACAAGTGCCTTACCTGTCCAAACTCTGTCTGCAGGAAATCATCAAGAACATAGAAGTTCTTCCTATATATGGAGAACTGGGGCCTTCTGAGCAGAAGTTCATCCAGGAGAAGCTACCACCGAATGCTCCCCTCACAGTCACGGCCAACCTGATCCCCGACGGCGTCTACTGGGAACGCCGCTCCAAGGAACTCTGGGACAACTGCGACGTGTCCTACCATGGCCAGAGCTGGAAGAGACTGTTTTTTGAGCGCTACTTGGAGGGACTAATCGAAGCGTTCATCCCTGGAGAAACCAAGCTCAAAACCATCCTGGAAATGGTACCTCTGTGTAAAGATTATGTGAAAGGATTGGATATTAAAGAGCTACTCCTGCCGATTAAAACACTACAGAAGAAGGAGGAAGAGGAGGAACATTCCAAGCTGGGCAGTATCCACGATGAAGAGGACAAACCTTTTCTAGACCATTTTAATTTCAATGTCCTGCTGGAAAAGCTGGACAACCTGGAAGAGCTCCACCTGGTGTACAGAGTGAAGCAGTGCGGCATCAACTACCAGAAGGATATGTTTCGGATGACGCAGAGGGACTGTGAGACGCTGGCTCAGGCTGTCAAGTCCTGCAAGACTCTCAAGGTTCTGCACCTCTACCACAGCATGGTCGATGACACTCAGTGCAGACTTCTGGTTGAACACTTACTGGACCACCCATCTTTGACCAAGCTGGACCTCAGTTTCAACTGCATAGAAGACAGAGGAGCCAGAGCCATCGGCAAACTGCTCACCCAGAGTAAACTGAAGACCCTCAAACTTTACAACACCATGATCAGAGACCACGGCGCTAAAGCCATCGCCCACGGCCTCTCCACTAACACCACTCTGGAGGAGCTGAACCTGAGCCTGAACCGTGTGGGGGACGAAGGAGGGGAAGCCATCGCGAGGGGTGGATGGGCGTCTTTCATCAAGATAATAAATGATAAAAAAGAATAAAAAAAAAAAATAAGTGATTTTGAAATCGAGAACAGATGAAAAGATACATTTTTAGTACAATATTTTTGGGAATAACAAGAAATGATAATAAGCAAATACACACTCAAACAACAGTGGGTTTATCCCTTAACACTCTTGAAAATGTACAATAAAGTAACAAAAACACAAACTGCAATAATAAATGAATAAAAAGCAGAATTAAGCAAATGAAGCCAGGCTCTATATTACGAATAGGATTATTTTTCTACGAGAAAGTTTGAGTTCACGTAGGGGAGGGGTGGTGAAGGGGGCCTGTGTGTGTGTGTGTGTGTGTGCGCGTCTGCATGTGTGTGTCTGTGTGTGCGCGTCTGCATGTGTGTGTCTAGATTCTATGGGAAAGTTTGAGTTCACATTGTGGAGGTGTGTTGAAGGGGGGCCTGTGTGTGTGTGTGTGTGTGTGTGCACGTGTGTGTGTGTGTGTGTGTGCTGTGGGGCACATTGAGCCATATTTGATCCACAGAGCAGCCCACAGCTTGTAAGTGATGCATAAAACACACTGTAAACCCAAATTTTCTTTTACATATTAAGCCAAGCAAATATTACAAATCTTTTTAATATTTTGCAAAAGGCGGGACCATTACTAAACAAAGTGTGAATTGTAAACTATTTTAAACTAGTATTTGCTGTACTAATGGCTCTGAGTGGAGACGGCTCACACTTGTATGTTTTTACCGGTGAAGGGAGAGGCTTGGCACCTGAACACGCCCAAATTGCACCAAACTACATTTGACTTCTGCTCGGACTGTTGGCTGCAATTCAGCGTCAGTCTGCTTTATCATCATATGGTAAGTGAATAAATATGGTTTATGTTCCCGTGAGACTGAATAGTTGGAGACATTGGTTGAAGCTTGCAGCCAAATAAGACGAACGTGAAGTGAACTTGTGGTCACGTTGTGCTCGTTATCATCTGTTAGCCGCTAACAGAGAACAGCTAATGCTAACAGTTAACGCTGTGGGAGGCGGTAGAGACGCGCGGAGGGCGAACTCCGTGGATAAACCAGGACTAAACCCAGGTCCAAAACCACGACTAAAACAGAAGAGCGTCTCCTCCTGTAGGCCGCGCTAATCGAATTTTAGAATGAATGTATAGAGTTGGTGTTTTTTTTTTTATCGAGACTCGTTTTCGTTATTTGCTATATGATTGTTCTAAAATCTAAAATCAGTCGGCAGATGGCAGCGGGAGAGGTTTTGAAAATTGGTCAAAAACCATGGGTGCAAATGGAGAGTTTGGAGTTCAAGTTTTTAGATTATCACCACAAAATTGCATAAAAGCTTTGGTTAGAGAGAGGTTACTTGCTCAGACACTACAGAACACTAATTTCTTTTTTTTTTTTTTTTTTTTAGATTTGTCTGGAATTCAAAAGGATTGTGGGAAAAGACCTGCACCAGGAATTTCATTCTGCCTTTGATAACCACACTACCCGTTTTATTGAAAAGTTTTAAAGCTAAGAGGGGCAACATGGGTGACAGTTGGCACAGCTTTTTCAGCAAATGCAGGTAAAACTTTAGTAACCCGGGTAAAAATACACGTGCAGTAAAAGCATAAATTCATAACATAGTTAATCTAAAATGGATAAAAAGGTAATTCATTTTTATTAAAATACATAGTTCATGTTAATGGTTAAATGTATATTTACAAAAGTGTTTGCGTCTCTGTATATTTCTTTTACCTTATCATACAGTATCCATTTACTTACTCTGAGACAATCCCACTGAATTCTTCAAATCTAGCTTTGTAAGTGTACATTTTGTTTGTAATGTGGAACTTTTAGAATGTGACATTTATTGTATAATTTGAATATACCAAAACTGACAAGTTGTCTATACATTACGAGCTTCAGCCATTCCATGAATATTATTTATCTTAAAGTCAGATTATTATTGATTTTCAAATATTTGTTTGAACATTTGAAAATGCTTGACCAAATAGTTATCATGTCAGCATAAATTGAATTTCATACAATTTATGTTTTGTCATTCTTATAGTGTGTTGTAGTTCAGTAATTTGATTCACTAATGGTTATGTTTCTGGCATTAATTTTGTTGTTTTTCTTTAGGATGGTGATGAATCCTTTCTCCAAATGGACTTTGGGATCTTGTTAGTAAATCTGAAGGTGTCTCTCTTCCAACACCAGATCTTCCCCCAGCAAGCCTGAAAATCATCATTGAGGGTGAAATTGTTATGGACAAGCTGACAACCTTTATAAGCCCTTGTTTGAATTGTGAAATGTAAAACACAAAAGCAAATGCTGTTACAGGGAACAAACAGAAGACTGCACTTTATTCAGGTTTAAGCGTGTTACTATTGCACTATTTTTGCAATAAATTTGTGAGAGAAAAATTGTCATTTTATGTCAATTATTTAAAAAATATATTACGATTTATAATTTGCATCTAATTATTATAACTAATAAACATAATCAATTTATACTCAAATATGAGAAATATATACTGATAAAAATAAATAATGATTACTGTAATACACAGGTAATGGTTAGTTAATTGTAAACATTCGTTTTAGAAACTTAAGTTCTTTAGTAATGGGTTATCTTGGACAGAACACTTTATGTAAACAGAACTTGATTTGTTTAGTTTTTGATATTGTAAAAACTAGACATCCCAGTGCAATCACTTACCACGCGCGGTTTTAGTTATGATTACTAATTTGGGTTTACAGTGATTCTCTACACCTCAAATGTAATTTTTATTTATTTTTTTTTGAGACCTTTACAATTTACTAAAATGGTGAAAATTTGTTTTGTTGCAATAAAATAGTTGTGTCTGAGGATTAGATGAAGCCTCGTTCCAGTACAAAAAGCATATGGTAGTTTTTACTAGAGCCCGACCGATATGGATTTTGCTGTGGCCGATATGAAACCAATATAATGGAAGTTGGAGCTGCCGATAGCCGATATAATCACCGATATATTTAGTGATGTAAAAATTCACTGTAAATGTTGAATTGTTTAAAAAACTTAGGTTTGGCTCTGGTGGATTTTAAATTGGGTTTATTTAGGCAACATTTATTGTTATTCTACCTCTTTACATCATATTTACAGACAGTAGGTTGACTTAATAGCATTTTTGCATCACATTCTAGACACTCGTGATGGGTATTCCAGTTCTTTTTAGAGAACCGGCTCTTTTGGCTCGGCTCACTAAAAGCTGCTGGTTCTTTTGGCTCCCAAGTGGCTCTTCAGATTGTTTTGTTGCAAGCAGGACTGAATCAGGACTGAACCAGGTCTAAACCAGGACTGAAAAAGGACTAAACCGGGACTTATTTATTTTATGCTAAACTACAGTCAAATATGCTCGTTTTTTTAATTTTTATTTTTTTAAATCCTACGTACACGCAAATTTCTCAAAAGTTTCGTTTTTAGCCGCTGCCGCTGTCAAACCACGAATCTGCTCGCGGCGTGAAGAGAAAAAAAGTGAGAGAAAGAGAAAACACGGCTCCCAATAAGGATCAGGCTCCCGTCGTTCCCTTCAAAGAGCCGGTTCTAAGAGTCATTTCGTTCGCGACGGACCCATAACTAGTAAAGAAACTAGCGCTATTAGCCTTTAGCCGTAAATACGTGCGCGCCGCGATAATTAATTATATGCGCAAATGTCATAATTTCACAGCTCATTTACATATCAGTGCAGGTCCAGTAGCAAATATACGGCCAATATAGTCACTTTAGAACAGACCAATAGAAAACAGTCTGTTTATGTGCGGGAGCTACAGCAGCTAACCCATAACAAATGACAAAACTAGCTTCAGAGTCGACATATTTCCAACACTCACCGCTCACACAGGCTCCTCCTCACATCACAAATCTGCACTAATAAATGTCCTTTTAATCCAGACTCAAACCGATTGTCCGTAAAAAGAATATAATCTCAGTGTTTGGATCTGTGTCTGCAGGTGTAAACAAACACACGTGAGTGACGCGACTCTGTGGTGTGTTCAGGGACAGTACAGACACACACAGACAAATGACTCCGTAGATAAATACTGATGTGGAGCCACATATTAGGACATTTATCTGTCTGTAAATTGGATTAAATGAACAGAATACAGAGAGTCTAAGCTTTATAACGAGGTATAACATGCCCACGTGAAATATCGGCCCCTATCAGCAAGCATATCGGCCGATAGCCGATATGCCTAAAGTTGCCCATATCAGCCGATAATATCGGCCAACCGATATATCGGTCGGGCTCTAGTTTTTACATACCTAAACTTGAAAACGGGTCAGTTTTGACCCGAACACAATATAAGGGTTAAAGTTGCAGTTGAAGTAGTAAAAGTAGTGAGCTTTTGTAGGGCTTTTATTAGTAGTTGCAAAAAGCGTACAATAATAAAGCTCCACTGTGTAACCTTTCTGTCAAGGGTACACTACCTGCTTAAATCCATTTAGATGTTATTGCTTTGATAGTACACTGTATACCATTAAACTTATATTATGCACTTACTCACTCGCCGATGAAAGTTTTCTAAATTGTCTTACAGAGTGGACCCATTATATTTCTGTGTGAGTAAACTAATTGCACTTGTCTAATTGTCTCTTTCTGCTCCTTCACTCTGCTCCCTCTAATGCTCTTCATGTTTTTAATAACAAAGTAGGTGGGTAAGTCGAGTGTTTGCCTTTTCGTGATGGATAGGTCTTGACAGCATTATTGAAGTTGAGTTATTATATAGTAGAGAGAATCGCACAGAGAATTGTTGTGCTCAGATAAGGTAATTTCACCATCAGTCCATCATATGAGAAAAGGTGATATGATGAAGCTGGGAGTTTTTTGTTTTTTTTACGCAAAATCAACTTTATAGAGCTTTCTACCAACTTATAACATTCTTCCCTAATCACAAACATGCCTGAAGAGATGTCGTCCATGCATGTTTGAGTACTTGTGAGCTCTCCCGGGCCGTATTCGAGTCTCCTTACGGTTAGCGGTAGGAGCCTGTACAAAGCTGACCC